AATGTAAAACATGAATAATGTAGGAGGAATTGCCACTGAAGAAGTGTTCACTATATATTCTGTATAAGGAAAAAAAACAAAGGGCCATAATTAGGTCAAAAATTATTCAATCACAAAACCCCGACAATATGTGCCAGGGCACTTGATGAAAAAGCTTCTGTGAAAGTTTGAACAAAATCCATTGAGAATTGTAGGACGAGTTCAGCTCAGAAGAATTTGTTCACTAATATATTGATAATTCTGTATAAGGAAAAAAAAACAAAGGGCCATAATTAGGTCAAAACTTATCCAATCACAAAACCCCAACAATATGTGCCAGGGCACTTGATAACAAAGCTTCTGTGAAAGTTTGGTCAAAATCCGTTGACAAATGTAGGAGAAGTTGCGCACGATAGAAATTGTTCACTATATATTCTGTATAAGGAAAAAAACAAAGGGCCATAATATCACAAAACCCTGACAATATGCGCCAGGGCACTTGATGACAAAGCTTCTGTGAAAGTTTGAACAAAATCCGTTGAGAATTGTAGAGGGAGTTCAGCACAGAAGAAATTGTTCACTATATATTCTATATAAGGAAAAAAAACAAAAGGCAAAAATTCGGTCAAATATTATCCAATCGCAAAACCCTGACAATATGCCCCATGGCACTTGGTGACAAAGGTTCTGTGAAAGTTTGGTCAAAATCCGTTGAGAAATGTAGGAGTTGAGCGCAGAAGAAATTGTTCACTATATATTCTTTATAAGAAAAAAAAAACAAAGGGCCATAATTAGGTAAAATATTATCCAATCGCAAAACCCCGACAATATGCCCCAGGGCACTTGAAGAAAAAGCTTCTGTAAAAGTTTGGTCAAAATCCGTTGAGAAATGTAGGAGGAGTTGTGCACAGAAGAAATTGTTCACTATATATTCTATATAAGGAAAAAAAACAAAGGGCCATAATTAGGTCAAATATTATCCAATCACAAAACCCCGACAATATGCGCCAGGGCACTTGATGACAAAGCTTCTGTGAAAGTTTGGTCAAAATTCATTGAGAAATGTAGAAGGAGATGCGCACAGAAGAAATTGTTTACGACCGCCCGCCCGCCCGTCCGCCCATCCGCCCGACGACATACCTCAATCTAATAACCAGTTTTTTCCTTCGGAAAACCTGGTTAACAACTTTAGTACAGGACCCATAGATGATATTTAATATAATATACCAAATATCAAAGCTCTAAGCCTTGTACCTTCAGACAAGAAGATTTTTTAATTTTTAACTATATGTACAGAGTGAAAATCAATGTCCCCTGGGGGTGGGGTCAATTTTGACCCCAGGGCTATAATTTGTACAATCTTGCTAGAGGTTCACTACATAATGTTTCATGCAAAATATCTTAACTCTAGCCTTTGTAAATTTAGAGAAGATGATTTTTTAAGTTTTAACTATATACATACAGTGAAATTTGAGAAAACCGGACGCTGAGAAAATCGGAACTCTCTAAATACCGGACTAATAATTCAGTCCCAAATTTTCCCTTCTTTAAACTATTGTATTAAACATTGACAATACCGGAATCTGAAAAACTGAATATCAGACGGTTGAAAGGGGACTACAAAGTCCATTATATAGACAATTACCCTGACAATACCGGACGACGAAGGTGTGAATAACCTTGTGTATTTATCAATTGGTTGTGTCTAATACGCTAACTGAGCGTTAACGGAACAATGATTATCTGATTTGTTAATTATGCCTCTTTTTACAGTTTGATTCATTGTAAGGTATAGATGTTACTGTTTTATATAAATGCCAAAATGCACAAGAAATTGATAAGTTAAAATCAGTATGAATGAAAAATAAAATATTATTATACTGCATTGCTTTTTGTATATTCATTTGCCAAAATGACAACGCAACGAAAACAACTTTTATCAGCGCTATCTTCTATTCCATGGCCTAAAAGAATTCGACAAGAGCTGTCTATAATTGACAAATTTAAATTAGTTGAAGACAGTGAAACTTTGCCGAGACCTTCATTAAAAATCTCTATCTGACAAATATGGTATAGGCAATATACTATATATATAATTGGGACTTATTATAAACAAACAAAGTAAACTATGTTCGTTAAATCATTATCCAGTACTCAAATGTAAACATATGCGGGTGTAATCAGACTTTATCGTTATGAGGTAACTGCTGTTCGTTTAAATCCAAAATTTTATTGTATTTATATGCAATAATGGGACAAAAACAATTAAAACATATTGTATAGTATTTTTATCATTTCTTTATTATGCAATATACTTACTCATGATCATGAAAATGCAAAATTAATATACGTTCAGCATCCTTTGTAAGTTATTGCTCAGTTTATAGGATCCTGAATAGCTAAAGCGGACATTGAGAATACCGGACCGCTGAGAAAACCGGACAAAACCCTCGGTCCAAAAGCCGTCCGGTTTTCTCAAATTTCACTGTATAAGGAAAACCTATGGGCCCCCGGGGCGGGGCTAATTTTGACACTAGAGGCAAAATTTGAAAAACTTTGGTAGAGTACCTATAGATGATATTATTTAACAAATATTAAAGCTCTAAGCCTTGTACCTTCAGACAATAAGATTTTTTGATTTTTTACTATATGCATATATTGAAAATCAATGACCCCCGGGGCGGGGACAATTTTGAGCCCAGGGCTGTTATTTGAATAATCTTGCTAGAAGTTCACTTCACAATGTTTCATGCAAAATATCTAACCTCTAGCATTTGTCAATTGCTAGAAGAAACTTTTTTAAAGTTTTTACAATAAGTTTTTACTATACCCATATAAGGAAAACCAATGACCCCCGTGGCGGGGCCGATTTTGACCCCAGGGCTATAATTTGAACAATCTTGGTAGAGGTCTACCAGACAATGCCTTATGCAAAATATCTAAGCTCTAGGCCTTTTGGGTCTTTACAAGAAGGTATTTTAAGTTTTTACTATATGTACATATAGTGAAAATCAATGACCCCCAGGGCGGGGCCGATTTTGACCCAAGGGCTATAATTTGAACAATCTTGGTAAGGGTCTACCAGACAATGCCTTATGCAAAATATCTAAGCTCTAGGCCTTTTAGGTCTTTACAAGAAGGTATTTTAAGTTTTTACTATATGTACATATAGTGAAAATCAATGACCCCCGGGGCGGGGCCAATTTTGACCCCAGGGCTATAATTTGAACAATCTTGGTAGAGGTCTACCAGACAATGCCTTATGCAAAATATCTAAGCTCTAGGCCTTTTGGGTCTTTACAAGAAGATTTTTTAAATTTATTGTTATAATTCCTTTTGGTTGCCATGGCAACCAGATTTCTGCATGGAATGAAATTCTTTGAACAACTTTGGAAGCCCTTCACCCAAGGATCAATCCTGCCAAGTTTGGTTGAAATTGGACTAGTGATTTTTCACAAGAAGATTTTTTAAGTTCACTATATAATCTATATAACAAACAAACAAACAAACAAACAAACAAACAAACAAACAAACAAACAAACAAACAAACAAACAAACACACACACACACACAGGTGAATCGCTATATGCCACCGCATCGCAGATGCTGCGGTGGCATAACAATGACACCCCTGGGGCGGGGCCAGTTTTGACCCCAGGGCTTTTATTTGAACAAACTTTGTAGACACTTACTAGAAGATGTTTCATGCTTAATACTGTAACCCAACGAATATTCGCGACCAATTAATATTCGCTTTATTCGCGGATGGCCACGAAGCGCGAATATTTGTTCGCGCGAATAAGTCCGCACGATTTCGCGAATAAATTGGAGAGAAATTTTTATTTTAGACGTTGTTAATGCAAAGCTACTTGACCGGATATATTCGAAATTTACGTGCACCTGTTTAGGAAGTAATGAATTGTTATGAATATTGCCATAAAGCAATAAAAACACAAACTAAGTAAACTACTACTATTTTATAAATATCAAAAGAACTCTATGTCAATATAGCAATCAAAATAAACATCCACATTTTAATACAGTTAATGAAATACTAGTAGACCTATTGTCAATCACGTTTCTTTTCTGGTGTGCTTTCCAGATCATGATCAGGGAAAAACGATGCCGAAACATCCCTGCATTCTGAGGGTTTATTTTTTATCAACCACCCTTTTAACGACATGTTTTGAAATGAAGACGAACGATGCGTACATTTACATATATAGAGAAAATGTTTTGATGAATTGTGATCACAATTCACTTACCAATACAATATAAGGCTATCGTATTGTTAATCCCATTTAAGACACAAATAATGACCTCAATTATTGAAGATTAATAGTCGGCTAATGGTTTTTACGGCCCGATCGGACTTTCCAATCCGCGAATTTTTTTTTTTCGGAAATCAAGAAAACGCGGAAATTAATTTTCGCGAATATGTTCGACCTCGGCAAAACGCGAAAATTTGTATTCGCGAATATAAATTGGGTTACAGTATCTAAACTCTACCTATTTGGGTTTTTTCAAAGAAGATTTTAAGTTTTTGCTATGCACATATAAGGAAAATCAATGACCCCCGGGGCCGGGCCAATTTTGACCCCAGGTCTTTTATTTGAACAAACTTTGTAGACACTCACTAGAAGATGTTTCATGCTTAATATCTTAACACTAGCTATTTGGGTTTTTTCAAAGAAGATTTTTTAAGTTTTTGCTATACACATATAAGGAAAATCAATGACCCCCGGGGCGGGGCCAATTTTGACCCGATTGCTTTTATTTGAACAAACTTGGTAGACACCCATTACAACATGTTTCATGCTAAATATCTTAGCTCTAGCTCTTTGAGTTCTTTAAAAGAAGATTTTTTAGGTTTTTACTATATGCATATAGGGAAAATCAATGACCCCCTGGAGCGGGGCCAATTTTGACCCCAGGGCTTTTATTTGAACAAACTTGGTAGACACTCACTAGAAGATGTTTCATGCCAAATATCTTAGCTCTAGCTCTTTGGGTTCTTTAAAAGAAGATTTTTTAAGTTTTTACTATATGCATATAGGGAAAATCAATGACCCCCTGGAGCGGGGCCAATTTTGACCCCAGGGCTTTTATTTGAACAAACTTGGTAGACACTCACTAGAAGATGTTTCATGCCAAATATCTAAGCTCTAGCTCTTAGGGTTGTTTAAAAGAAGATATTTAAAGATTTTTCTTGCGGTTGCCATGGCAACCAGAGTTCTGCATGGAATTAAATTCTTTGAACAATTTTTAAAGGTGACCACCAAAGGAACATTCCTGTGAAGTTTGGATGAAATTGGCTCAGTGGTTTATGAGGAGATGTCATTTAAAGCAAAAGTTTACGGACGGACGCCGGACGGACGGACGCCGGACGAAAAGCGATCACAAAAGCTCACCCTGTCACTTTGTGACAGGTGAGCTAAAAAACCTTCCTGACAAATTTCCAGCAGACATTTTCACAAAAAATCTTACGACAATTTTTTGTCGTAAGAGAAATCTTATGATAAATCTCCTTTTCACAAAAAATCTTAAGAAAATCTTAAGTGCAAAATCTGTCGTAACTTTACGATAGGTCTTCCCCGTTCGTAAGTGTAATTTTTTCTCTCTTAAGGGTAAAATATCATGTATCTCTTACCTTAACTGAATAAAAAACAACAAAAAGTTGGAGGACAACTAAATATTAAGCAAACAGTATGCTATAAATAACACAAATTGAGGTATAATTATTTTTCAACATATACATTTGTGACGTCATGACTTGATGACGTCACGATGGAGAGGGTTATGAATAGTTTAAAATAATGTGAACTATACTGTAGACTAGTATTAGAAAACTAATTTGTACAATTGGTGAGTTCGATTTCATTGCCAGCATGTACTAGTGGTACCTTTTTATTTATTAATAACATAGTATACCTTCTTTCTGAATCTTTTAGATATATATAATTATCTTCAATCAAGATATAAATTATATCAGTTTGAATCATTTTTTGTTCTTATTGAAATTTGATTGTGTTCAATAGATATTTCAAGCTCTTGATTACTTGATTTTAAAACCGGAATCAAATATAGAGCATGCACATCACTATCAAATGAACGTTGCTAGGGATGTTTTTGTCGTAAGATTTATTGTAAGTGATTTTTTTATCTTAAGATAAAATTTTAACTTACGAGTGACTTTGTGAAAATGACTTAAGATTTAACTTACGATTATCGTAAGTGAAAAACTTAAGATAAATCGTAAGATTTTTTGTGAAAATGTCTGCAGAATATTTGGATCAAAACTGCAGCCACTAGAGTGTTAACAAGCTTTTTCTATTTTTAGCTCCTGTGACCTAGTTTTTGACCGGAGATGACACATCTTCAAACTTGACCTAGAAATCATTAAAACAACCTTCTTGACAAATTTCCAGAATATTTGGATTAAAACTGCAGCCACAAGAGTGTTAACAAGCTTTTTCTATTTTTAGCTCTTGTGACCTAGTTTTTGACCCGAGATAACCCATCTTCAATTTTGATCTGTGTTTCATTGAGACAAACATTCTGACAAAGTTTGATGATGATCCAATCCAAACTGTGACTGCTAGACTGTTTACAACCCAATTGTTGACGACGAACGAAAACGGACATAGCCCCATCACTATACCTCACCTTGACCTCACCTTGACCTCTTTGTGTGGCTTGTTTGATAAAAGACTAGGAAATTGAGAATTAAGCCATAAAGTATTAAAATTGAAAAGTGATAATATTTCCTTATTAACCACTATGACATGTTTATACTAGAGTTGTAAAATTTATCAGTTGAAAATCTTAAAGTAATTTTTATCAAAATATTTATGCAACATAAAATTCTTTTAATGATTGTTAAAATGTAAAAGTTAATTTTTGAATATTGAAATAACTAGAACTGCCACTGTCTTGGCGTGAATACCCCCCGCATACCACTTTGTCAGAATCAGCAATGGCCAGACAACTTCACTGCCAAATCTGAGGGTAGTAAGCCAGTGCACTGCTAAGTTATGTATTCTACATGCTTCAAATGTGAAAATGTCAAAATCAATACACTGAGGACCTTAAGCATTTGAGCAGACAAGCTTATAGTGGTAAAAACCCCTGTGACCTTTGACATAGTCACCTAAAAATCAATAGGGGTCATCTACTAGTCATAAACAACTTCAATACCAAATATGAAGACTGTTAATTGACCAAAGCCTTCTTCATCAATTGGGCCAACAAGCTTTGTTAGGTAAAGGTCCCTGTCACCTTTGACCAAGTGACCTCAAAATCAATAGGGGTCATCTTATGATCATAAACAACCTCAATACCAAATATGAAAACTGGGTCAGAGGATTCTTAAGTTAATGGGCGGACAAGCTTTTTCTAAGTGAAGGCCCATGTGATCTTGACCTTTGACCAAGTGACCTCAAAATCAATAGGGATCATCTACTCATCATGACTAACCTCCATGCCAAATATGAAGACTGTGGGTCAAAAGAATCTTAAGTTATTAGGTGGACAAGCTTTTTTCAGTAAAGGTCCCTGTGACCTTGACCATTGACCTCAAAATCAATAGGGGTCATCTACTCATCATGACTAACCTCCATGCCAAATATGAAGACTGTGGGTCAAAGGAATCTTAAGTTATTAGGCGGAGAAGCATTTTTTCAGTAAAGGACCCTGTGACCTTGACCTTTGACCCAGTGACCTCAAAATCAAATCAATAGGGGTCGTCTTCTCATCATGACTAACCTCCATGCCAAATATGAAGACAGTGGGTCAAAGGGATCTTAAGTTATTAGGCGGAAAAGCTTTTTCTAGTCAAAGCCCCTGTGACCTTGACCTTTGACCTCAAAATCAATAGGGGTCATCTACTCATCATGACTAACCTCCATGCCAAATATGAAGACAGTGGGTCAAAGGGATCTTAAGTTATTGGGCGGACAAGCTTTTTCTAGGCAAGGCCCCTGTGACCTTGACCTTTGACCCAGTGACCACAAAATCAATAGGGGTCATCTACTCATCATGACTAAATTCCATGCCAAATATGAAGACTGTGGGTCAAAGGGATCTTAAGTTATTGGGCGGACAAGGAAAAACCGACAGACGGCCGGAGGCCCGGACGGACAACCTGATTCCAGTATAGCCCCCTTACAACTTTGTTGTGCGGGGGTGTAATTAATGTTTACATAATTTATACTGTAAAAAAGCATTTTGACAAGGAAATGCTATGTTACAGATCATTCCTGTAAAGTTTAATTTAAATTTACCATGTGTTAAAGGAGAAGAATGTTATTAAAGAAATTGTGGATAACGACAAACGATAGGCGATGGCAGACCGACAGCCATCACAAAAGCTCACTTCTGAGTACTTCTGCTCAGGTGAGCTGAAAAAGTTTAACGAAAAACAAGGGCAACTTTGTTGCAAAATACACCTGTTACAAAAGCTTTTGACAGAGATATGGGCATTATAGAAATGCATATAGGAGATATGCTCCGGGCAATATCAGAATATTTTATTTTCTTTAGTGACCTTGACCTTGCAAATATTAACCAAAATTCAAGTGTCACACTTGTAGTCATGATAGTTATCATTTTTGTTACAATCCATCAATAAATGATGACTAAATGGCCCCTGTACATATCTTCTGTTTTATCTTAACTTCGACCTCTCTATGTGACCTTGACTTTGGTGGCAGGGACCTTGATTATGCGCGCGATACTTAGCTTAACAATAGTCAAATGCAAGTTACATTAAAATCCCCAACCCCCAACCCACCCGATGAAAGTTTTGCTCTGAACATGTTTTTTTTCCAAATAACCTCTGTGTCTGACCTTGACCTTTGACCTGATTCATGCATGTGACACTGCTTCTCATAGTGGTGAACATTTCTTTGAAGTTTTGTTAGAATCCCTCCATAAGTGTAGGACAAAATCTATCTACATTTTATCATCCTTAGTGAACTTGACCTTGCATATTAACCTTAATTACATGTTTCACATCCGTAGTCATGAAAATGACCATTTGTGTTTCAATTCCTGAATAAATGATGCCTAAGTTGTCAAAAAACATTTTCATATTTTTATCTGAACTTTGATCCCTATGTGTGACCTTGACCTTTGCTGCAGGGACCTAATTTTTCACGTGACACTCCGCCTCTATGCATGTAGAAGTTTTGCTTCGGTCAAACTTGGAGACCTGGTTCATGCGCCTGACACAGCTTCTCATAGTGGTTAACAATTCTTTGAAGTTTCATTAGAGTCCCTTCATGAGTGTAGGAGATATTCTCTGGACAAAATCTCTATATTTTATTATCTTAAGTAACCATGACCTTGTGTATATTAACCTAAATTACATGTTTCACACTCGTAGTCATGATGTTTCACACCCCTAGTCACGTTAATGACCTTTTGTGTTTCAATCCCTCAATAAATGACTAAATGGTCCAAAAACACATTTTCATCCGAACTTTGACCCCTACGTATGACCTTGACCTTGGTAGTAGGGACCTAAATTCTGCACTTGACACTCCATCTCATAATGGTGAACATTTGTGCCGAGTAATATTGAAATCCCTCTATGCATGTAGAAGTTTTGCTCTGGACAAGGGTTTTCCAATGATGTCCAAGTGTGACCTTGACCTTTGACCTATAAAACTGGTTTATGCACAGGACACAGCTTCTCATTTTGATAAACATTTCTATTAAGTTTCATTAAAATTCCTCCATGCATGTAGGAGATATGCTCAGGTTAAAATTGGACGCCGCCAGCCAGGAGGGAAACTATAATAAGACCCGTTTTTCAAAGGGGCATATAAAAGACATTTGTAAAATTCAAATTTTGACCAGTGTTTTCATATTAAGCTTACAAGGTTGATAATCTGTTGCGGTTGTTTTGTAAGAACTGTATCTTTTCTGCATCATAATCAGGTGAAACACTTGCAATCAAATGACACATGTTGCTTTAGCTTGTGTATAATCAAATATGTGAATGAAGCAGTCAATGCACTGCTTAAGTATATAATTTTTATAACTATATAAACCAGGTTGTGATAGAGGGATAGGATATGAACTTGTAAAAAGACTCGACACCATTGGTTACCAAGTATTTGCAGGTTGTCTTTTCAAAGGTCAAAAGGGAGAACAGGAACTGGTTGCTGCTTGTTCCACACGACTTACAACTCTTCAGATGGATGTGAGGAACAGAGAACAGGTCAAGCAGGCAGCAACAAGCGTGCAGAATCATCTGGGATGCAACAGTAAGTATCTATATAACAAGAAAGCAAACTTAAAACTTTCAGCTTGGCCCATAAAAAATTTGATGGAGACCTCTATCTTTCATCTTAAATTTATCAACACCTTAATCAGTTTTTGTTTTTTACATTTGGCAATATTTATACAGTCAAACTTCGTAGGCTCAGAGGGCATATTCAAATTTGTTTGACTGAGATCGTAATTCGAGCCAAATGAGGCTAAAGTATTATCATGCATTATATGATCGTATTTTACAGAGGGCTTGATAAACAAGAGCACTGCATAGGCGTGGCAAATGTATGCCCAAATGCAAATTTGCTTTCAGTAAATAAAATTTAAAATAATCAACAAGTGCTGTCATTAAAAAGCGACTTATGCCAACAAAAGAAAGCCTTGACATTTTTTATTATTTTTATCCCAACTTTGACCTCTATGTGTGACCTTGACCTTGGCTGCCAGAACCTAAATTTTGCAAGCGACTCTCTGCCACAAAATAGTGAACATTTGTGCCAAGTTATATAAAAATCCCTCTATCCATGTAGGTTTGCTCCGGACAAGTCTTTTTCAATAACCTTTTAGTGTGACCTTGACCTTTGACCTATTTCATGTGCATGACACTGCTTCTCATAGTGATGAATATTTGTATGAAGTTTCATAAGAATCCAAGAGATATGCTCTGGACAAAAATCTCTATATTTTATCATTTTTAGTAACGTTGACTATCATCTTTAGTGACCTTGACCTTGCATAATATGCAAAAATCACATATTTCATATTTTTATCTGAACTTTGACCCCTATTTTTGACCTTGACCTTGGCAGTAGGGACCTAAATTTTGCACATGACACTCCGCCTCACAATGGTGAACATTTGTGCCAAGTTATATTGAAATCCCTCTATGCATATAGAAGTTGTGCTCCTAACAAGCGTTTTCCAATGACATCTAAGTGTGACCTTGAACTTGACCTAGAGACCTTACAGACATAGTTTATGCACAAGACACAGCTTCTCATTTCTATGAAATTTCATTAAAATTCCTCTATGCAAATAGGAGACATGCTCCGGATAAAAATTGGACGTCGCCCGCCGGGGGGGGGGGGGGGAATATTATTTGACCCATTTAGCAAACAGGCATTTAAAAATGCTATGCCACCGCATTTATACAACACAAAATAGTAGTGTAGCAACAAAAGATTTCTTTTTGTTTCTATACAATTGAACTTTGCAATAATGCAGTCGAGTCTAGTGAATTGTGTGGTCAAGGTCATATTTCACATGGCCTAAATTTCATGACTGTACATCAAAGGACATGACAGTAAATCACTTTGTCAAAATATTGGTCAACTAATATCAAAGTTCAATTTTACATCTAAAACTGTGCAAATGGTCCAAATTTTATAGCTGTACATCAAAGGACAAGAAAGTAGGTCACATGCCAAAATCTAGTCAGTTGATGTTTAAATTCAATTTCACATCTCAAAATGTGCACATGTTCCAAATTTCATGGCTGTACATCAAAGGACAAGAAAGAAGGTCACTGTTCCCTTGGGCAGGGCAAAATTTAGACCCAAAGGTTTAATTCAAGCAATCTTGATACAGGTCCACAAGACAATGTTTCATGTCAAATATCTAAGCTGTAGCTTTCTCCTTTGTTTTAATTTCTGCTTTTTATTAGATGTACATAGTGAAAATCAATGACCTCCGTTTCTGACTTGTACCTCCCAACTCCTACCACTATGCCAGGCACCATTTGGATACTATACGTACATAGTGAAAATCAATGACCTCCGGGGCATGACCAACTTTAACCCCAGGGCTTTAATTTGGACAATCTTGGTAGAGGACCACTAAGCAATGTTTCATGCCAAATATCTAACCTCTAGCCTTAGTTGTTCATTCAGAGAAGATGAATTTTCAAGTTATTACTATATGCATACAGTAAACTCGGCTTATAACAAACTCATTTGGACATTCAAAATTTGTTCCTTATAACCGGAGTTCCTTGTAAGCATATAGCAAATTAGTTCCTTGTATCAGGAGTTTTTATAGCAAACAGATTTACATATAACAAATTGATTGTTTATCATTGTCCTCCATTTTGAAAATCATTTGATTAAGAAAAGTTAGTCATTTATTTATTTTAGACACAATACCCGAGAGCGTACCTTTTGGAATTTGAAAATCCTTTGCTATTTCAGTTTTAGCTTTACTTCCTTTCTCAATTTCTCATAAAATATCATATTTTCTTTCTAAACGCTGCTTTTCGTTTTCTTTCCATGATTAAGAATAAACAAGATTTTCTATTTTTCCTTCCTTTTATATTGAAAACCTTCTATTGTATTTTAAGCATTAATTAGCAAGCACATGTGATTATGTTGAAAACCAATTTAATGATCATAATTATTTTACTCGAGAAAAACTATTAAAGAAAAGAAATAATAGAATAAAAGGAAAAACCGTTTTATCTTGATGCTAAATATATCCTAAAATAAACAAGAGGGCCATGATGGCCCTAGATCGCTCACCTGACCCATCAAACTCATCCAAACAATTACCTAGACAAGCATTCTGGCCAAGTCTCATGACAGGTGAGTCAAAAATGTGACCACTACAGTGTTAACAAGGATTATCCATATTTGAGCAGTGTGACCTAGTTTTTTACCCAGGTGACCCATATTCAAACTTGACCTAGAAATCATCAAAACAAACTTTCAGACCAATTTCCAGGATACTTGGATCAAAACAGTAGCAACTAGAGTGTTCACAAGATTTTTCTATTTTTAGCTCCGGTGACCTAGTTTCACATGCGATTTCGAACTCATCCGAGCAATTACCTAGACAAGCATCCTGACCAAGTTTGATGATAATTGAGTCAAAAATGTGACCACTAGAATGTTAACAAGGTTTTTCCATATTTGGGCGGTGTGACCTAGTTTTTCATCCAAGATGACCCATGTTCGAACTTGACTTAGAAATCATCAAAACAAACTTTCAGACCAATTTACAGGATATTTGGATCACAACAGTAGCCACTAGAGTGTTAACAAGATTTTTCTATTTTTAGCTCCTGTGACCTAGTTTTTCATCCGAGATGACCCATGTGCGATTTAATCCCAGCAATGACCTAGTCAAGTTTCCTGACCAAGTTTGATGACAACTGAGTCAAAATTGTGACCACTAGAGTGTTAACAAGATTTTTCTATTTTTAGCTCCTGTGACCTAGTTTTTCATCTGAGATGACCCATGTTCAAACTCATCCAAGCTATCACCTAGACAAGCATCCTGACCAAGTTTGATGATGATTGAGGCAAAAATGTGACCTCTAGAGTGTTAACAAGGTTTTCCTATTTTTAGCTCTTGTGACCTAGTTTTTCATCCGAGATGAGCCATGTTCGAACTCATCCGAGCTATGAACTAGGTAAGCATCCTGACCAAGTTTGATGATGATTGAGGCAAAAATGTGACCGCTGGAGTGTTAACAAGGTTTTCCTATTTTTAGCTCCGGTGACCTAGTTTTTCATCCGAGATGACCCATGTTCGAACTCATCTGAGCTATCACCTAGACAAGCATCCTGACCAAGTTTGATGATGATTGATGCAAAAATGTGACCACTAGAGTGTTAACAAGGTTTTTCTATTTTTAGCTCCGGTGACCTTCTTTTTCATCCGAGATGACCCATGTTCGAACTCATCCGAGCTATCACCTAGACAAACATCCTGACCAAGTTTGATGATGATTGAGGCAAAAATGTGACCTCTAGAGTGTTAACAAGGTTTTTCTATTTTTAGCTATTGTGACCTAGTTTTTCATCCGAGATGACCAATGTTCGAACTCATCCGAGCTATCAACTAGACTAGAGGATGCTTTTGTAAAAAAGCGCATGTCTCCCCCACTGCTGAGAATAACTGTGAATGGAAACAGGAATGGAAATGGAGAAATTCGGAAATGAGAAAATGACCAATGGTCACTGTGACCTTAACCTTTGACCTACTGACCCCATAAACAAGAGGGATCATCTGCTCAATAAGACCAATCATCCTATGAAGTTTGAGGGTTGTAGGTCTAAAGGAACTCTAGTTATCATCCGGAAAGGAGAAATTAACCAACGGTCGCTGTGACCTTGACCTTTGACCTACTGACCATTAAAACAATAGGGATCATTTGATTAATAAGACCAATCATCCTATGAAGTTTGAGGGTTGTAGGTCAAAAGGAACTCTAGTTATCATCCGGAAATGAGAAATTGACCAACGGTCACTGTGACCTTGACCTTTGACCTACTGACCCCAAAAACAATAGGGATCATCTGCTCTATAAGACCAATCATCCTATGAAGTTTGAGGGCTGTAGGTCAAAAGGAACTCTAGTTATCATCCGGAAACGAGAAATTGACCAACGGTCACTGTGACCTTGACCTTTGAACTACTGACCCCAAAAACAATAGGGATCATCTGCTCAATAAGACCAATCATCCTATGAAGTTTGAGGTCTGTAGGTCTAAAGGAACTCTAGTTATCATCCGGAAACGAGAAATTGACCAACGGTCAGTGTGACCTTGACCTTTGACCTACTGACCCCAAAAACAATAGGGATCATCAGCTCTATAAGACCAATCATCCTATGAAGTTTGAGGGCTGTAGGTCAAAAGGAACTCTAGTTATCGTCCGGAAACGAAGAATGGACGGACGGACTGACGGACGGACGGACTGACGGACGGACAGGGCAAAAACAATATGTCTCCCCCCGAGGTGGGGGAGACATAATAAGCATCCTGACCAAGTTTGATGATGATTGAGGCAAAAATGTGACCGCTAGAGTGTTAACAACTAAATGTGAACGGACTACGGCCGACGGACAATCATCGATCCTAAAAGCTCACCCTGAGCATGCTCAGGTGAGCTAAAAAAACTATTACTTACTGCTTTTCAAATTCATTTCACAGACATACAAAATTAAACGGCCGAGTTTTTAATCTGTGCCATTGAAAATGAAAGTTGAAAATGC